CGATAATATTGATGCAGCAACTCTCGATGCTTTTCAACGATCTTCCATTCCCTTTACTCGCTACGATTCGTAGAGAAAACTTTTAATTGGTATCTTTTCTTTTTCCTCGTTTTCTCTCTATCTCTCTCTCTCTCTCTCTATATCCTCCCCGCCCCTCTCTCTCTCTCTCTCTTCTACCTTTCTATCCTCATATTTTTTCTTCTAATTTTTTTTAATTATTTTTCGTTTTGTTTCGCTTCGGTTCGTTTCGTCAAACACACGCACGAGTCGTCAGTTTTTCTTTTTCACTTCTTATTTTTTTTTTTTTTTCTTTTTTTTGATCTCCCATCAGCAGTAGCAAAGAAAATTATTAGATACGCGCATATGATAATTGAAAATAATTTTGGATAAATTTATTTGTACAATTTATATAAATAATTTTTTAATGATTTAATTTGATATACGAGAAAAAGAGAGAGAGAGAGAGAGAGAGAGAGAGAGAGAAAGAGTAGAAGGGAGGGAAGGAGGGCGAGAAGCTCGTCGACGTAGTGGAAGATGAATGAGAGCTGCCTTCAGAAATTTCTAGGAAGACAAAAAAAGCATTATCTCGAGGGAACTTTGGAAGAAAAACATCATCCTGAGGGATGACAGGAAAAAATGTTAATACTTTGAATAGCGAGCCTTCTTTAAACAGGATCTATATCCATCTTTCCCTTTTTTTTTTCTTTTTTTTCTTTTTTTTTTTCTTCTTCTTCTTTTTTCCTTATCATTCTCATTCCTTCATTGGCATAACTACTAATCTCTACTACTTAACGATATTGTTTCTTCGGTTTTCGTTTTTCTTTTCCTTCCTCTTTCTCTTTTTTTTTTTTCTTTTCTTTTCTTTTTTCTTTTTTCGTAGACTTAACAACACAGATAATTTTCTCCCGTAGAAGGTAACATAATTTATCGTCACGAAGAATTGGGGTAAGGAGAACAGTGGCAGGAAAATCGATTTAAATGTTCGTCGTATGAAGGTTCTTTTCTTCTCTTTTTTTATTTATTTATTTATATCATTTTTTGTTTTTTTTGTCTTTTTTTTTCCCAAAAATTCATAAAACTCGACTTATTAATTGTTACGCAGAAATGGCCGACAGGATAGAAAAATGGAATATAATGATCCTTTCGTACGAAATCATTACTTCGTAATATTTGACAATTTTGAAAGATATTATTTCTCTAATTGTTTCAATCGTTCGAAAAAAAAAAGAAAACACAAACAAACAAAATAAGAGGACAAAGGTAAAAAAAAAAATTAACAAGATCAAAAGAGGATCGATTTGAATATTGTGTTATATTATTTTTTCTTCTACGTGTTTTCTTTTTTTTTTGTCTTTTTCTTTTTCTTTTTTCTTTTTTTTTCGTTCCCCTTTTTTCTTTTTCTTTATCTCAACGAAAGTACGTAGAACGATTCGAATGATTAATTGAATCGAGAAATTTCAAAGCATTTTCATTTATACTGTCTTGTGAGGATAACGCGCCTCGTCTTAAAAGTCACAGTCTCTTCACGGAGAGAAAAGTAAAAGGATTCTTCTCAAATGGAACGAAATAATTCCTTTTCAGTGATCGCACCCGCTAATTCTTTTGGATAGTCCTTTACAATAGGGCCGTCAAGCTACGAGATATCCTCATTAAAGTCCTTTCTTTGACGAATCTCCCATTTCCCTTTTTTCTCTCCATGATTTGCCAAAAGTTCGTTGATTGGCCGTCTCGAAAAGTCAGTGTTTTTCAACGTCTCGCAGCTTCGTTCTACCGTGAAACTATTTATTGACTGGAAACGCTGCTCACTTTACCTTTTATTCGAGAGCACCCTCCTTTTCGCCTCCCACCAAAACCATTACTACCACCACTACAACCATCATCATCGTATCTACCCCACAGATATTTTGCACGAAATGCGAAAGCCCAGCTTTTAATGGGTTCGTGGATTACCGCTTGGGAAAAGGGGTCGAATTTACATGCCTCTTTTTTAAGCAATGATAACGATAGAAAGAGATAAAGAGAAAGAAAAAGAGAGAGAGAGAGAGAGAGAGATATCAGCTTCCACAAAGACGAAAATTTCGACGTTCGAAATAATACAAAGTTCAGTCTTTTCTTTATATACGTAGTTATATATAGTATTTTCTAGTATTCAAATTATAATTTATATATATATATATATATATATATATATATATATAAAATAAAAAGTATATAACTATATAGATAATTATAAATTATTGAAATATTTTCAAATTAATTTTATACCTATGGATATGTAATTTATATTCAAATACATAATTGCTTCATTCAATGATTATAAATATTAAGAATTTATCAATGTATTCTGTTTAATGATAATTTATAATAAGTCGAAAATACAATGTAATATTATATCAAATGTAATTGCAACATTTCGAAATGGATTGGATAATTCAAATGAAGATTACTTTTCATTTAATCCTTCGAAATAGATGAATATATTTATTTATTTATTTATAATAGTAAATTGCATATCGCGTATACATTAACACGTATCAAGCAATAATAATAGCAAGAACAATAATAATAATCAAAGTTTTCGTGACGCGACACGAGGGAAATGTCTCGTCAAAATGATTAATGTACCATCCCTTATCCTCTAATCGATTCGGAGTAATTTTCGACGAAGCTGCCTACGTCAGTCCTTTTCAGTGCTTTCACTGAGACTAAAGAAAGAAGTTGATAAACAGGGAAGAGGAGAAGATAAAGTATTAACTTACGACGCATTCATGCTCGAAAGTATTCCTACGAACGTCGGGATCGTCCAAGATAATATTATTTGTCTATATAGTTTATTCTGTATATGACAAATGATTAAAATCGAAGGCTTAAAAAATTAAATCAACATAAACATATATAATATTTTAACATAATCTTTATTTTATAGAATGTATTTAATAATAATTATTAATGGAATATTATAGTATATAAGTGAGATCTAGAATTAATTAATAAAAATTAAAAACATCTATTAAATATTAATATATAATAATATATAAGAACATATATATAAATATATATACATATATTTTTTATATATAGAAATATTTGTAAACTATGAGATTATATTTAATAATTATTCGAAATTTTTTAATTATCTATTAAACATGTTTATATATATATATATGTATTAATATTATTCATATTAACAATATTAAAAAAAAAAAAAATAATAATAATAATTACAATTACAAAACAAAATATAAGTATTTGCCTCGTGAATTTTTCAACTAACGATATAAAATGACAATTCCATTTGATAAACTACATATCATGGGGATAAAAATAGAATGGAATACAAAATATTCGTATGATATCAAAACAAGCAGAAGGATAAAAATCGAAGATATCATTTTAATGTTATCGATAAGAAGAAGAATGAAAATAAAATATACACCTAGGTAAGGATAGAACCTTCGATGTCGAAGAAGAAAGAAGATGAAGAATACGATGAAGAAAAAGAAATCAAGGAGAAAGAAAGAAAAGAAAGAGAAAAGACGAAGAAGGATAGTAAAAGAGAGGTCAGGAAACATTCTATGACGTCGTAGGAATCTCGTGATTGTTATTTATGGTAGACGGATTCGCGTCTAGTCACGGCGATATTTCAAGTAAGGTGGCATCCAAGGGATGTCTGGGGGGAGTTAAAGAGGGTGAAGGGGGATGGAGAAGGGAGTGGAAAGAAGGAGAGGCTTGAGGTATGAGAGAGAGAGAGAGAGAGAGAGAGAGAGAGAGAGAGAGAGAAAGAAAGAAAGAGAGGAACATTCTGAAGAAAAGAGATGGTGGTGGCCAGGAATCGCCACTTTAAAAATCACTTCCGCACCTCACCTCACCTCATCTCACCACCACTCACCTCACCATATCTCAGTTCACCTCACCTCACCTCACCTCATCATAGAAAGTAACCTATTCCAAAGAATCTCTCAGCGTGTGCCTTCTTTCCCTTCCCACCTCCCATCTCCACCCACCACCCAGTATCATCATCACCATCACCACCATCACCACCACCCATTCACTTTCACGGCATCTAGAACGCCTTATGGTTTCTACAACATCAGCCTTTCCCTCTCCCACTTCCCCTTTAATTCCCTTTACAACCCCCTTCCTACCTCCCTACTGCACGCTCTTATTTCCTTTACCACTTTCCCGTGCTATTCCCTTGGGAACGATTACATCGATCGTTTTACGGAACCGGCCTTGTTACGCGTTCCCTGAGGAACACCTAAAACTACGCGCGTTTCGATTCATCGACATCAATGTAATAAAGTATGTATGTACATATTTATATATATATATACATATATATATATATATATTTATATATATATGTATATATTTATGTATTTATGTATGTATGTATTTGTACATACTTGTACACGTACGCGTGATACTGTTTGCTTCGAAATTTAGTATTTCTTATAAATATATAACGTTGACATTTGTCGAGCGATTTAATAAATATGATATTATCGCAGCGTGGTAGATAAAATGAGAGAGAGAAAGAAAGAGAGAGAGAGAGAGAGAGAGAGAGAGAGAGAAATTCAAGTTTTATCATTTCGTATAATTTATTGATTTAAATAATTAACCGTATAATAAATAAATCAGTACGTACAGAGATATCCATTGCACGATTTATCGTTAATAAAATTATTACTTAAAGTGACATATACGATTTATTAATCTGATCTATATAATTTCGATCAATGTAATATATATATATATATATATATATATATATATATATATCTATATACATAGTATCTTTTTCTTTCTTTCTTTTTTTTTTTTCTTTTTTAAGAAATTTATCTCCAATCGTTAATTGGACATTGATAATAATTCATCACATAATTGAAATGCGTTTGCTCGTAGAATTAAAAAGTGGGTTTTTTCTTTTTTTTTTTTTTTTTTTTATTGCAAACGAATCAAGCGAATGTCACCTTAACAAAAGAAACGTTTCTTTAGAGATCGTTCGAGTGAGCGAGCAAGGAAACAAGAAAGCAAGCGAGAAAGCAAGCAAACTAGCTAGCCAGAGCTAGCTAGCCAGCTAGGAAACTAGCAAGCAAGCGAATCAAAGCAAAGCGAAGCAAAGCAAAGCAAAGCAAAGCAGAGCAGAGCAGAACAGAGCAGAGCAGAACAGAGCAAAGCAAAGCAAAACCATTGGCAGAAGAATCTCAAGCAAAACCGATTATGAACATTAAGTACACGCTGGCTGAAAAGCAGGCCGTGCTAAAAATAGGAATACCCATGCATGGAAATAATGGCGGATCTTGGAAATATCACGAGGAACGGGCTGACGGATAGAAAACTAAAATGGTTTAAGAACTAAAAAGAGAAAGGAGAAGAAAAAGAAAAAGCGAAGAAGAAGAAGAAGAAGAAGAAGAAGAGATAGATAAAAAGGTGAAGGAGGAGCAGGAGGAACAGGAGAAGGGGAAGAAAGAAAATATATAAAAGTCGGGACACATTTGAACACGAACGCGTTTTGTACGTGGTTGCACAGAGAAGATTCAGATCTCTCGGAAAGTAAAAAGCTTGCATTCAAGAGCTTACATCCCCTTCTAAATTCCACCCTTTTACCTATCCTTCTCCCTCCTCATTTCTAGACTTTACTATATACCATTCTTATATAGCATCATCGTCATACCTTAAACCCGTCACCACCCCCCGCTCCACCCTTACTATCGCCCCTTCTCCTTTTCTCTTTCCACCCATTGCCTATTTGACTTTCCAGTTTTTGAAGCTAGAAAGAGAGTTACGTGACATCATCTACGAGCAATGTCGGAGAATTATTTTCAGGATGATATAAATGTAGTCCAACGAATACGGGTTGTCTCTTTTTCTCTCTCTCTCTCTCTCTCTGCCTCTCTCTCTCTTTTTCTCTCTCTCACTTTGTCCGTTCGTCCGTCTGTTTGTCTTTCTCAAAATCGTTTTCCTCCAAGGTAAATAAATTTAATTTACCAAGGAAATCGAGACCGAGAGCCTTTCGAGCTTTCCACTCGAAGGTTCTTTCTTTCTTTCTTTTTTTTTTTTCTTTTGTTTTCTCTTTCCTTTTTTTTTCTTCTTCTTCTTCTTCTTCTTCTTTCTCCCCTATCGCACACTCGGGGACGATCGCCAAGTTTGCATTTTTATTTTCACATTTGTTCTTTTACGTTTAGTTGCGGTCTCCTACCTTAGTAGTTATGTAACCATGTATATTTCTGTTTACAGTATCCACCGTACTTAAGGGGAAACATCCTTATTTTCATTCCTTCCCTCTTTCTTTGGTTATTTTCGTTAAAATGTGATTTTCCCTTAAGAGCCGTACTATTTTTGACAGATGTGGCAAATGAGCCTTGGAATATCTATCTTCCATTTTTCTCTCTCCCTCCCTCTCTCTCTCTCTCTCTCTCTCTCTCTCTCTTGATTTCTCGATCTCTTGATCTCTTTCTCTCTCTCTCTCTCTCTCTCTCTCTATTTTTTTCTGTCTTTGTCTCTGTCTCTCTTTTATCATTTGAAATCTTTTCTCTCGTAATCTTTAATTAGTACGGTATACGATGTGGTAAAACACAAAACACGATACGGCATAGAATCGATACGGTACGTATGCACTTTTGTTTAGATTTCAAAGCAACTCGTTCTAATTTTCAACGGATTTAGAGATCAGTATTTTACTGGAGGAATATTGAAGTTCTCAGCGATTTTCCGAATAACCATTAATTTCGTATGCTTTTCCCACTCGTCCGCCTAACCACCCCACCCACCCCACTATTTCCCTTACTACTACTACTACTACTATTACTATTACTACTACTACTACTACTACTGTGATGATCCTGTTGCCAGTTTACGTGGACGTTTTCGCGAATCGATCTGATCCGATCGAACGAAATTAAATTCCTTCCTGGTAATCTGTGAATTCACCTCCGTAAGGATTCCATCGCGTATCGCGTTTCAAGCTAAATTGCGTCCGATTAAACAGTAGGACGAAAATGAAATTCTCCAATATATATATATATATATATCGTGACTCGGCGAATCGAATGTTTTATTTTCTTTTTTTTTTTTTTTTTTTTTTTTTTTCATGCAAAAAAAGAAACAGAAAAAAAAATAATAATAATAATAATATTAATATTGATACACACGCGTAGGGAATAAAAAAAAAATTCAACGAATGAGAAATAGGTATTCTTTTGGATAGGATAAAAAGATACGAGTATAAATATGATATTTATATCTACATTATTAAAAATAATAAAAACGATAGATATATGTATCTACGAAATAATAGATCTATGTATGTATGTATATATCTACGTTATAACTATAAATGAAATTCCTCATATATATACCAGATAGCGTTAAATTATTTTTGAAAGAAATAATAAATTTCGCTGATAAAATATATGTATATATATATATATATATATATGATCGAATTGCAGAATGGCTTGCGTGAATGAAGCCGATAGTAAACAACGGTTTGTCCCGTAATCGCGTGGACATTAAATACGTGTAGGTGTACCGATCCTCGATCATGATATACGCGAGAAACGGAGCATGGATTAGTTTCAGATATATCTCTAGCCATCCTGGAATGCAATAAAGCCGTGGCAATGTGCTCGATACCTATACATGTATTATCGATTATTATATACGCTCACTATTTATTTCCTGATAACATTGATATGATTCTGAACAAATATTTCTCTCCTTTCTCTCTCTCTCTCTCTCTCTCTCTCTCTCTCTCTCTCTGTCTCTCTATGCAAGTACTCTAGATAATATTTAGCTATTTGAAATCGAATTTGCAAATGATATAGCTGTATATATATATATATATATATGTATGTATGTATGTATATGTATATAGATCAATATAAATTTCATATATAATTAAATGAGATGGATGTATAGAAAATCGAATTATGTTTCTTATGTTTCGAAAAAAAAAAACAGAAGAAAAAAAAACTTAAATAAGACATCTATAATTATTACCATATTTGATTTATTATATCTACATACGTATATATATATATATATATATATATATATATATATATATATATATATATCATAGATATATCTAGATTGATTCATCTTTCCGAGACGATAGCCCTTCTAGAAATTTACTCCTAGTTTCCTATCCATTCTGCCGTTCATTAACGCAGGATCGTCGAGTTAACGATCAATTAAGCGTTCTCAGGAATGGAGAATGCATGGCACGTACTAATGCCAGTACCAAAGCAGAAACCATGTTAGAAGGAACTAGAATCTAACATAAATAGATAAACCAAAATGAGAGAACATTTGGTGATTTCTATAGGTGTCTATATTGAACGATAGTTCCAGTGAATATCATGTGAACAATGGGATCCTAGCTGTTTGGTTGCTTCAAAGGAAACCACAGTAAATACAATAATCATTGATCGTTACTGAAGATACATATGTATTTATATATATATATATATATACATATCTGCATATATAGATAAAATATATGTATATATACATTACGAATATTTAGACACATACATATATATATAGAGAGAAAGAGGGAGAAAGAAAGAGAGAGATAGATAGAGAGACACAGAGAGAGAGAGAGAGAGAGTGAGAGAGAAAGAGAAAGAGGGTGGGAAAGAGAGAGAGGGAGGGAAGCGTATATTTATTCAACACGATTGAGAATAGTTTTCGATCGAATCAATAGGAGAAATAGTTCACGCGGTGGCATATGGATCGAATCTCTCGAACGTGGCCTTACTTCAGTTCGAATCCTATCTATGCAAATACATTGCCATACAACTTGACATGGCCTGAGACAACGGGCACCCGATAAGCACTGCAATTGCATTTGATTTGAAATGGAAATCGATACACAATACCGGTACAACTATCCTACAAACACCCTTCACAGTCATTCTATATTTATCGGGGATGCGTTCATTCGATCCTGTGTGTGCCCTTAGTATCTATCTAATTTTTTTTTTCGTTTCGCTTCGTTTTCTTTTCTTTTTTATTATATCTTTTCTTTTTTTTTTCTTTTTTTTTTTTTTTTTTTTTTTTTTTTTTTTGACAAGTTCTTTACACCGAGATTACCTGAAAGATAAAGGTAGCAACGTGAGATAATTGTTGTTAAGAGAAAGCGAGAGAGAGAAAGAGAGAGAGAGAGAGAGAGAGAGAGAGAAAGAGAGACCGATGATTATCTTCCAAACTTAGTCGACATAGTAAACTCATTAAATTTTTTCTTTCTTTCTTTCTTTCTTTCTTTCTTTCTTTCTTTCTTTACTTTTCTTTTTCTTTTATTTTTCGTTGTTTTAAAAAGGTCCCCGTCCACTTGCTAGATACGAGGCAGACATTAAACACAGGAATTCAAGGACAAATAAAAGGAAGAAAAGGAAAAAAGGTAAACTCCAAAGGGAGAGAGAAGGAAGAGCCGGAAGGCAAACCTTTTTCCCTTTCTCTTTTTTTCCCTCTCTCTCTCTCTCTCTCTCTCTCTCTCTCGATCTTACTCTTTCTCTCTAGCTAAAGCTTCGTTTTCCTCGTTCTATTCTCAGAGACGGACCGAGACTATTCAATTTCATAATCCGATTTGGCGTACGATTGCGGGAAGTAGAAAACTTTCGATTTATGGCACGCTTAGGACGAAATCCCTTTGGATCCCTTACCTCCGACTGTATCCGACTGAAGATGAGTAGAAATGCAATTTTCGCAGGAAGAATAAGGTTACGAAAGCCGAGCCAGTTCTTACCTCCTTTGAGCCGGCAATTACGTAAAACGGGATCGCCGATAGCTCGGTCCACCGCGGCACAACTTTTTCCATTCGAAAGCAGTATTATTATCTCTCCGGGGAAGGGAGGGGAGGGAGGGGAGGGTTGCAAAATCAAGAGGAAAAATTTTCTCTAAAGGGAATCTCGTTTTATATTAATTTCTTTTCCTTTTTCTCTCTCTCTCTCTCTCTCTCTTTTTTTTTTATTTTTTTGTTCTTTCTTTCTTTCTTTTCTGTTTTGTTCCTTAATCCAACTAACGAATCTATTTTCTTCTGAAAATTTACGTCACGTGTTCGAAGGTTTTTGCATTTTTTTTTTTCTTTTCTTTCATTTTTTCTTTCCTCTTTTTGTTCTTCTCATCCCTTTAACGAAATTACTTTAATAACTTTACATGTATATGTACATGTAAAGTATATATATATATATATATATATATATATATATCGATACCATTTTAACAATATATAGATGGTATATAAATACATAAATAATAAAACATAATATATAAATTATAAAACATTAGTGTTTTGAATTGTTTCATTGTTAATATTATGAGATTAACAATACGGCCTCGTGAAAACATGTTCATCAATAAGCCTTCTCTCTCTCCTTGAACTCAGACGATTTATCTTTGATGTTTGTTGCCGGTTTCTCTAGGTACCTACTTGAGCCAGGCAGTACTGAGTAAACTCTGACAGGGTGGCCAATCCATTAATTAAGTTAATTAACTCTAGACAGGTAACACGCCACTGGTATGGACGCCAAGTAAACTCTAATGTCGGCCTAGAAACGAGCCGGCATTATATCGTTCTGTATGCATAAGTACATACGTACATACGTGTCTATGGTTTATCTTTGATTATCTCTCTTTTTTTTTTGTCTCTAAATTCCTTCAGATTTATCGATCGATAATTAATAACATTTGACAGATGGTAACTCGATTTGATATATATATACAGTTGGTTACTTGAGACTGTCATTTCTAAAAAAAATTGAAGAATTATATGAAATATGTAGTAGTACACTCATTCGACTGGACGTTGCTCTCACTCTCTCTCTCTCTCTCTCTCTCTCTCTTTCTCCTTCTCTCTGCCTCCTTCTCTCTGTCTCTCTCTCTCTCTCTCTCTTTTCCTACAAGGAAAACTAGTATGACGATATCATACAATTCCTTGAATCGAGTTTGAAATGTTAAGATGATAGTTCGAAAAGTAGTAGTTGTAATGGTAGTAGTAGTATTACTACTACTAGTAGTAGTCTTACTTCGACCTTACTTACTAGATAGTTAAACTTTGTCAGACAGTATCTAGAATTCCGTCTGACTATGACGCAATCCATGACTACTTGCAAAATAGAACATTTCCTTCGAGTAACGTTGTAACTTTTTCTAAGTTACTTTTTCTCTCTATAAATATGACTACTACTACAACTACTACTACACATAAACTAATTTAAATTGTCGTGTCAGTATATGCTTGCGTGTTTTATGCCGATGATACAAATCTATTAACGCATATTATCGTTTCATTAACTCGCTTAAACATTTTATAATATCTCTATAACAGGTAACTATATATATAAGGATCTGGAGATAATTCGAATTCTTTGAAATCGAATGAGATTATAAAAATTTGTCCAGAGAAAAAAAGAAAGAAAAAGGGGGAGAGAAAAAAAGAAAGTATAAAAGAGAAAAGAGAAGAGAAGAGTTCTCGCAACTCTTAAAGTTATCAAAAAGCAATAACAAACGATGATAACGATAAAAATTAAAAAGAAGAAAGAAAAAAACTAAAGAAGAAAGATAATGATAATAATGAAAGGAAATAACAGTAATAATAAAAGTAATAATGAAAAAATAAAATCGATGAAGATAATAAAATAATGAAAAATAAGATAATAATAATAATAATAATAATAATAATAATAATAATAATAATAATATTTTGATGGAACGATCGAAAATGAGATATTTAAGGTTTGCTCCTGGTAAATGGCAGGTCCGTTATCGTGCATAAACTCGCATTAATGTACGAAGGGTGGGTGATTGGTTCGTGAAGGTAAAAGGGAAATGTGTTCGATATAACAAAGGATCTTTTAACGGAATTTTGTGCCCAACTTACGCATTGCCGGTCACTCCCGTCTTCTAATCGCCGTTACGATGGCATGATAATGGCGCCGCATAATCGCGTGTTCGACGTCTCGTCACCAAGTTCGATTTTCGATCTAAAAGTAGAAGTATATTACGAGGAGCCTCGTAATAATGCCTCTTCAATATGGCCGTTCTTCGGCTCTTGTATTCGCTCGATCGAACCCTAT